CAAATTGAAATGTTTACTGGGTATTGTATTCAATTCGGTACGTTTGTATTTGTCTAAAGTGTCTGTTGTTACATGGTTTGCTGTTGTATTTACAATATATATTTTTTGATTATTTAGAATGTTTTTGTTGTAGACTTTTTTGAACAAGTGTTAAATAAAGTCACTTACCTTACATACTCTACTACTTGTAGTAGTATTACTATGACTCTTACTGCTTACCTTTACAAATTTAGTCTTTGTCAGGTATCATGTCAGCTTCTTGCTAAAGTTGTAGTTGTTGCTGTAGTACTATGAGTGTTAAGTAGTATGTACGTACTACATAGTAGCAGCTTGTATAGTCAAAAAGCCTACCTATTCTAATGATTTAGGCCTGTTGTTGTTATTTTTGTTTGTTGTAATTGTAATGCTGTAATTGAGACCAGACGACAACATCATTATTTGATTGGAGACTAATTTAGTTCTTGTTTATTTTGTTGACAGTTTTAAAGGTTGGTATTTTATTATTTTTTTTTTTAATTTTAAAGCCACTTAATTGCTTTAAGAAAATTTTTGTTAATGGAAAAAACGAGAGTGTTTCAATTATAGAATAATTATAGAAATTTTAATTAAATCGATGGTAATTTTTAATATGTATATAAATTGTAATTATCTAAAAAGTCGTTTAATAACAACATAAAGTGTTTATGTAATGATTCTACTTTTTTTTCAAATTTCTAGAATAAAATAATTACTGTATAACCACTATTGAAGATTTTCTTGCTAATGGCTGCTTAAAAATCGGTTATGAATAGCATACTTCACTTTAAAACCATCAGTATTCCATTCATTACTGAAAGGAACTCTGATAACAAAATTTTTCCATTCTGTTCCATTCTTTTCTATTCTGTGCTATCAGCTTCACTTCTGCCCAGGGCTTTCCAGTCGAATTCGCCTCCGTTTCGATTTGTCTTCGCCAGGTGTTTCCCTGAGGCCTCATGAGGGTTCCATGCTATTGCCATCTTGGCTACGTTGTCGTCGTTTCGTCTGAGAACATGGCCAATCCAATACCATTTACGATTAAGAATTTGCATACTTATTGGTGTTTCACCAGTTCTTTGCCACAGATCTCGGTTTGAGATAATATGGGGCCAAAATATCACAAGCAGTTTGCGCAACGAGCGATTAAAGAATACCTGTATGGATTCCAGGTCGCTTGATGTGATGTTCCAAGATTCGCATCCAAACTGCAGATCAGAACGAACGTTGAATGAAAAGAGGCTGAGTTTAGTTCTTAGATTATTTGGGGTGATTTCCAAAATCTTTGTAATGCTCCAAATGCTTGGATTGCCTTTTTTAACACTACGCAGATGTATAAAAGATTGGTCATCTTCAAGATTAACGTTGTTAATTTGAAATTTCCGAAAGTTGGTGGTATTCAGACGCAGAACGTTGGTTTTCGCTATATTCACATGTTAATCAGCATTCTCTGCAATAGTGTGTATTTGTTCTAGTTTGGCTGACATATCGTTGTTTGTGTGAAGAGATATGTCATCGGCATAGTCTAGATTTTCGAGACGCGCAGTTAGGCCCCAAGTGATGCTCTTTCTAAGTTGCCCTTTGCATTATAACGTGAAGTACTATATTGAGTAATAATGGACATAGAACGCACCCTTGTCGAACACCAGAGTTAACTCTAAAGGATCTTCTTAGATTGCTCTTATGTATCACCATACATGTAGAATCACGATATAAAACACGGATCAGATCAATAAATTCAAGTGGAACTCCTTGGCACGGAAGCGATTGCCAACTATGCTGTTGGTGGATGGAATCGAATGTCTTGGCAACGTCTATAAATATGCAATATAGAAGGGATCGCTATTCCACCGATTGTTCGACAATAATTCGAAGGTTATTGTAAAATCAGCCTGTTCAAATCGAATTTGGAAAGACAACGAGTTGGATAATCTGTCATGAATGATATTTGCCAGTACCTTGTTAATCATTTGTAGAAAGGTTATACCCCTCCAATTTCGAAATTCTGTCAGGCCACCCTTTTTTGGTACCTTTATTATTATCCAAATATTAAGATCAGGCGGAAGTGTATTTGAGGTCCAGAAGTTTTTATTAATGGGTCTTATTACTAAGACGGGAATCGGCTTTAAGCAATGTCGGTTTGATGTAGTCTACGCCTGGTGCTTTACCATTCTTCAGCCCATGGGATACTTCAGTGGATAAGCTATTCGTATTTGCCACAGCTTCAGCATTTGAGGCCATGTTTTCCATCCATAATCTTTTATCCCGTCAGGCACTATGTTTAACCATGTGGTCCATAGACGAATAGAAAATCCGTAAGTGCGTTTAGTCTACCTCTCTCGTTGATCAGCTGCCAATTCTCATCCGTAATCCAAATTTTGTGCTTATGTCGTTTGTATTCAATTTTCTGGCTAGAACTTTCCGTTATCATACTTTTCATTACATTCCACTATAATCGTTCATGTTCCGAGCATAGTAGACTTAAAACCCTAGCTTGTCCATATGTACTTGATTTCGAGAATGAAGATCGATTAAAATAAGGTGCCATATAGTATTCCGTGCTTCTAAAGTGTTAGTTTTAGAGCACCTGTTCTTCTAATGCATGCTGATCTTTGTTAATTATATGAAATCTAACATTATAGGGTTTTCCATGTCGACCATTTTTTCTAATTTATCTTTTAATAAAATTTTATTTAATATATAAAATAAATACAAACATTAAGTCTACTTTAAAGATTAATTTTAATTATTATGTGAACATTTTACACAGACACTTAAGCAAATTGCAATTTAAGAATTCAGCTTCTATAATCATGTTTAATTTTCATTACATTATATTCTTATGAAATGTTTTTCTTTTCTTAAAAATTCATTTCAACGCTTTTTGTTTTTAAAATTCCAGTTGTTCATGTGTAAAACATTTTATAAAGAATTCTCCGATTTGTTCAGTGATTTCATTAAATCAACACCATAAACATGAGCACATTATTACTTTGTATGTGGATTGGAGTTTTTAAGAAAACAAAAAGAAAAACTCTTTTACATTTTATTTCTTTTAATTTGGTAATGTTGTTGTCTGTTTTATTTTTTTTTAAATTAATATTAAATATAAAATAATGAAAAAACAGGATTCGTACTTATAGGTCTCTAGTATAATCAGCCAACATTTACCCATGCGGTCACGTTTTGTTTGCACTCCTCTTATAATTGTTTCATTTCATTGCAAAAGGAGCAAAATTACGAAGATAAAATTATTACAAACCAAAAAAAGAAAGATAAATATTTCATACAGCAGAAGGAAAGACAATAACGAAAAAAGAAATTCTCTAACGGCCATTGAAAATAAATGGTTGAAGGTTTAGAGATGATAAAATTCATTCGTGGTTTTAACTCTAGGTCTACAAAAAAGTGTAGATATAAAATTCTGGTTAGAAAAAATTAATTCCTTGGTATATTTCATAGTGTTTTTGAGGTTAATGTTACTTTAAATGCAGTTCTTTAGAAAGCATATGTTTTTATATGTTTTCAATTACCGATTACTTTGAATTGTTCGCTACATATAACATTAACTCGATTACCCATAATATTTTCCTACCATATCTGGATAAAACACACAGTATGCCTTCGCATAACAAAATCCACTTTTATGAGCATCAAAAGAAATTAACATAAATAATTAATGGCTGGTAAGACTTTAGACACTCTGTTGAATTACAGTTGGATGAGTTGAATTCAAGGCAGCAGTATTGAATTAAAAATCTCACTTACTGCACATTTTTTAGTTTGCCTTCCTGCCAGTAACCAGTAACCAGCAGCCGGCATCGTCATCTCCACTCATTACCCCTTTTCAATCACAGTTCTCAATTGTTGATGTGGCAACAGGATAAAAACAACAACCAGGACATCAAAAGATAAAAATAAAAATGTTAAAAGAACAAATTTTAGAATTTCAAAGAAACAATGAATTGGCGTTGCCAACAGGAGGCAAAGACACAAAAAACATCAAGTGACCTGTGCTCTCATGAACAGCCCACAAAATAAAAACAAAACCAAAACATCTATGTATTGCCAAGACATAGTGCTCATTAAATATTTAAACAAATTAGCAATGGGTTGGAAAAATAATGGCCGTAGAAGACTAATGGTCAAGAGAATTTATGGTACAGATAGAAAGCACAAAGGTGACGTTAACACGTACTAGTCTCATGTAAGTGAATGTTGGTGGCTGATAATTTTAGAAATTCAAAGTTTATATTTAATTTGTCATTAAACTTTGATTTTAGTTAGTTGATTGTTTGAACTCTTTCATAGAATTGTAACAATCGCTGAAAGCTGTAAACATGCTGTAGTTTCTGAAAATAACTGTGATAAAATGGAATTTGAATAAAAATTACAAAAGTATCAAGCAAATATACCGGAAACCAAAGACTGGAGGGAATTGATCCCTCGACAAGCAGATTGATAGACTCGCACAGCACCAACTATCCTTGAAACATATTATTATCGAAAAATCTAAACGCAGTTAAAACATAACCAGCTGTCGTAGGCTGATACTTTATTCTGTTGGCAATCTTTACTTCTAATTTAATTTAAAATTCTGAGCTAAATTCTATTGTTCAAAACATTAAACTCAAAACTTTAAACAACCAGTGTCTTATAAATCTTTCGTCTTTCTTTTGACAACAATTGACACAGATTTTTTTATGGTGCAGTACTTTAATTTTAAAATTTTATTAAATGTTTCTTCGTATAAATATTTGATAATTTCAACAGTATGTCGTAAAAGTAAACGACAGGTGTGACTTGCTGTTGAGCAGCAGGAAAAGATGGTGAATGAAGAAGGGTTTGTTGTTTTAAGTGTCAATAAAGATTAAAATGGGGAGAAAAATAGCTTTAAATATTGCTCCACTAAAAGCTTTTCTGTTTAGCTCCTTTATAGCATTTTAACATTTTAATAAATAAAATAAGCAACTAACTCCCTTGTAATGCTTTTTCTCAGTTCCCTAGTGTTTTCTCATTTGTTGCTTTCATTTAATAAGCTTGCTGCTGCCTTGTTGTTTTAAATTGTTGTTGCTGCTGTCGTTTTTGGCGTCTTTCCATTTTATAATTATTCCATAATCTTAAGGTAAAATAATATAAAAATTCAATGCCACTTAAAATACTGGCACCCAAAAATAAACCCAATATGCCACCAATGGTCACTACCACATCCAAACGTGTGCGCAAAGCCTGACGACGATAACGTTCGGTGGCAAATTCTGGCATCGTTACAGAGATGGTTAGATAAGGATTAGATGCATTAATTCTAAACATAAAAACAAGAAAAATGTATAAAAGCTAGAGATTAAACATATAAATAAAATGAAATTGCATAAGAGCAGATAATGTTCAAATTTTATGTTAATTTCGAAATTCAAACAATGTTTTATAATTAAGACCCAAAGGTGAAATAAAAATTAAGTAGATTTACTTACTTTTGTTGGTAATCAAATACAACTTTAAAATCACTTTCTGTGCAGGAGGGCAAGCACTCGCAGGTGTATTTGCTTTTAGCCCAGGGTAGTAAATTTCTACCATCCGGTCTTACTAAAATCAGTTTTTCCAAGCATAGAAAACCCTCCAAATCACAATCTTTATAATTAGCATTCTCCTCTGGCATAACGGAGAATACCGAACAATTGCATTCATTCATTTGATGTACTCTCAAACAATCCACAAAACAAGTACTAAAACTATAGGCCTTATAGGAAGTATCCGGCAATAGTTCATCGGGAAAACGACATTGACGAAAGGCTGGCGCAATGTCTCTTACATCGGGATCATTTATCATGGTTTGCATAAAAATTTGAAAGGTCTTGTCCTGGCCGGGTTTATTAGCCTCGATTTTATAACCGGGCAGGGCATCATGAGGTACATCTTCCTCGTTCATTATGGAAACCTGCAAGGAAGAGAAAATAGTGTTAAAAATTAAAGATAGATAGATTTTTTTAAAGCATATTTTGAACCTGTGTGGGCATTTTGGTAACAATTTTCAATTTTGCTGTATCTGTCATGGGATCTAGTTCATTATTAAACCAAGTAGGACTGTCTCTAAAAGGTTTAATTTATTTTTAAATATTTTTATTAAAATTCAATTCAACTTACCTTTTATTGTTCAATAAAGAATTCAACATAAAACAATTACCATGTGGTGTCACTAAAGGCAGAAAATATTTGCAACAATCAAAGGGTTTCAGAGAAAATTCACAATATTCAAAGAAATCACTGCAATTGGTTTTAAACTGTTGAAAAAAGAAAAATTAATAGTTCAATTAAAGATTGATACATATTTAAAAGAATTTAGAAAACTTTACCCGGTGATATAAATCACGTAAATTGTCCTTGGGACACTCTGTACAACACTTGACTTTACACCAGGACTTGATGTTACCCTCTCGATAAATATACGGATAAATCAAAAAACTTATAAAGTTCTCAATTTCATAACTATAGTCTTTGGCATTAGGACCATCTAGTCTAGTGTAATATATATGTAGAATAAAATGCATTTTAAATCGAAAAAGTTTAAAAGAGGTGTGACACTATTTCATTTTCCGAAGAGCTTTATTTAGCAAAAAAGTTTCTTTTGTTAAAAACTCTTTTTTTTACTAAAATTTATTTTTATAGATAAAAAAAGTTTTTCTTAAATATTTAGTAGCATTGAGTAAATGTTTTTTTATATCTTTGGTTAAAGAAGAAGCCCTTTAAGTTTAAAAAGCTTCATCATTAAAAATATATTTTTCGACTAAAAAAGCTTTTTTAGAAAAAAGTTTTTTTTTTGCCCACAAAATATTGTGTACTAAACATATTTTGTATGTTTAATTTAAGTTTTAATTTTTGTTGACACATTTTCGGCAATGACAAGAGTTTGACAGCAAAAAGCTAATAAATAAAATTAAAATATTAAACTTACTCCTCTACAAAATCAATCAAGTTCGGCAAAGCCTCATATTTATTGTACATATCACAGGCCGCTACAGTGGGAAAAGCAATCCTATGAGTGGATGGTAGACTTTCATAAACAATGCTAACAGCACGACTGTTAAAATCTCGTTGATATTGGCTGATCAAGACATAAGAACCAAAAGCTGATATGACTACACATATGAACCAAAATATACGTTCGATAACATGAAGGCTATAAAGATAATTATACAAATTAAATACAGATATTATACTTGTTCAAAATCAGTGATTACAAAGAAAGTCATAAACAAGTTTTTAGAAAGTTTATGCGAAGGAAAATCAAGTCCTCTTTGGGACATTTTTTGGGAAATAGTCCAGTTCATGAACGGCCAACGCTAAAACTATAATATTTTAGGGAACATAATATAGTATTACCAGCCCTATTATTGAAAAAATCTATTCGACCTCCCACTAGCCAACCACTATTTTATAAACACATGAAAAAGTACTTACTTTGTGTTGGCAATATAACTGAAACCGGCCAAAGTACAATTAGAACAATAATCCTTTAAGTAGGCAACATATTTATTCCCCGGTTTCATAATGCTGATTGCTGTAAAATGAAACATAAACTTAGCAGTTAAATATTCATATATAAAAAATAAATGTAATTTAACAATTATAAAAGTAAATGCTTAAAAGGCTTTTAAATAAGTATTTACTTCAGTACAGGTGTCATAGTTTTATTTTATTTTTTCTCTTAATTTAATTTTATAGTTTGTCACACACTTTACAACACATGCAAGGACACATTACTTTCCTTCTTGTACACACGTCTACATATTTTTTTTCCTTATAAAACAATTAGCATGTTTACTTTAGTTTGAGTGTGTTTGTGTAAATGTATGTTTGTGTTTTTAAAAGGAGTATGAGTACTAAATTCTCAGTGTTTATGAGCTTAATTACTCACAAAGTCTAAAATTGTTTACTTCCATCCTTGTTATGTGTGTTATTGCTTCTTCACTTACTCTTGGATGGTAAAAGTTATATTTCTGAAAAATACTTGTAACTCGAGCACCGCAAAATGAAGAAAAATTATGAAACTCTCTCCTGTAGAGTTTGAAAAGAATAACAATTAACTAATGACTTGGTACTGTTTTTTGTTCGTTTTGTTTTATTTATTTTATTACTGTTTTTGTCAAAGTTACCACATTAGAAACACACTCGACTACTTTTAGTTATACTATTGGGTGGTTGAAATTGCAATTTCCTTGGAATAAAGAAAAATTTGATTTCATAAAACTTTCTGTAAAAAATTTGTAAAAATTCAGTGTTGTACATTTACGCATTATTCTGAATAGTTTAGTAAAATCTTTTTTCCTTAACCCAATAATCTCACCAATGGGGGAAATTGTTAGAAACTTCATACTTCATTTTAGTTGGAATGTAATGCAATTCTTGCTAATTGCTTTCTAATTACTAGAAAATATATAAACTTAAAAATTGGTTTGAAAAGTTATAGACTCATAAGTTCATTGACTTGAAAAAGTTATAAAGTTACGTAGTTATCGGATTGAGACTGTAAAAGAAAAATAAGGGTGACTGTAGTCGTAGGAACAAATCTGCTAATACAGATTAATTTAAAATCCAATAATGTTGGGCTTATCGATCATGTACCAAATTTAATCATTTGATGCATATATCGTACCCAGGGGATCATTTGCCAGATAATTGACATTTATTATACCCTCCACCACCATCAGTGGTGATAGATGGTATATGTAACTTTGTCATTCCGTGTGTAACACCAAGAAATATTCATCTGAGACCCAACTTCTGGTTCCTTATCAAATTCTGAGTCGATTTAGCTATGTCCGATAAAACGAAGCAATAGAATTTAACCAAATTCACCCAAAATGTTCTTAGTTTTCCTAAGTTGTTTGGTATTGAAAATGAGCAATATCGGTTCACACCGGGAAAAGTTATGAATCAAAATTTAAAACAACCTCTAAAATAATAAGAATTTTTTACACATTCTGATGTAATTTTCTCAAAAACTATGCAAGATAACTCCATGAAAATCTACACAAGAGATTGATTCCTGCTGAAAATTGTTTGAATCGGTCCACACCACAAATTTGTTTTTTGTTAATAACTTCCGTCACAATGTCGATATCTTCACAAAATTTTACAAGTTGAATTCATATGCCATTCATTCAGAAAAAAAATTTTCTGGATCGGTCCATAATTGGACATAGCTCCCATACAAGGTCCCCTCCCGAAAATCACTTAAACGCACATTACTTATTACTAAATTACAATATAGATACAATATTTGACTAAAATATAGCTTTTATGTACAGAAATTTAGCTTAAAATTTTTTTACGATCGGTCTATAATTGGTCATATCTCCCATACTAGATCCTGCCCCTAAAAGCGCTTTAACTGTATTTAACTAGTTGCATTATCAATTTGTGTAGAACAAAATTATACCAATTACCAAATATCGCTAAGTGCTATAAAAATATAAAGAAAATGGAGTTTGTAATGTTCAATAAATCTTGGAATTGTAATAAATTTAAACTGTTTAAATCTTGGGATTTTTTCTATTTAAGACATGAGAAAACTTATTTCTACAAATATTTGATCAATTAGAAAAGTATTAATATAAAAGTAGCTGGTGGAGGGTATTTAAGATTCGGCTCAGCCGAATATAGCACTCTAACTTGTTTTGAAATATGAATAACTAACTAAAATAAACTTTTGATAAGTAGTCCACATAGTAGTGTATAGTCTAGTATATTGCTAGTCTATAGTATACAGACTACTCTATGGTCTAGTCTATAGTCTAGTCTATAGTCTAGTCTATAGTCTAGTCTATAGTCTAGTCTATAGTCTAGTCTATAGTCTAGTCTATAGTCTAGTCTATAGTCTAGTCTATAGTCTAGTCTATAGTCTTGTCTATAGTCTAGTCTATAGTCTTGTCTATGGTCTAGTCTATAGTCTTGTCTATGGTCTAGTCTATAGTCTAGTCTATGGTCTAGTCTATAGTCTAGTCTATAGTCTAGCCTATAGTCTAGTCTATAGTCTAATCTATAGTCTAGTCTATAGTCTAGTCTATAGTCTAGTCTATAGTCAATAGTCTAGTATATTGCCTAGTCTAGTTTATAGACTAAACAATGGGTTTATTTCATCTTTATTTCCTTCGTTATTAAACACAACCCTGCAGGACATGTAACTGTTACATAACTATATTTAGTAGAATGAAGAATTGGTTGTTTCATTAATTTGATTTTGTTAGATATGGCAAAGGATATGATAAAAAGTACAAAAGTTTTGGCTACTATAATCGCTGGTTCTTCCTCCAGAGCGCAAAGTTGCTAATTGGTACCTTTAACACTGCAGGTTATTTCTTTAAGTAAATGTGTTTGTTCAAACTAATACACATTAATTGTGTGCAATTATTAGTAAGTTTTTAGCCAGAGATTGGAGAAAGGGAAGAGAAAGTGTTATAAAAGCAACAACACAATTTAATGCAATTATGCAATTAAGTCTATAGAAACAAGTTGCAAGTAAACAATACATCAAGCTGATTGTTTTCATTTTATGTGCGTGAGTATGTGGTTTTCATACACACACAATCAATTTACACTTGTACAACTTAAAATTATTTCTGGGTGCTCGATGTGGGAGAACATGTATAACTGTAATCATTTTTTAACAAGGAGGGTAAATTGACATTAAAAAAAAGAAAATAAGGACTATAAGGCTTGTTACTATTTTTTATAAGTGGAATTGAATTAAGTATGGAGTTATTGGTTTAAACGTTTTAATCAAAATATTTACTAACAGTAATTCCACTTTTGTTCGGAATGGAATCAGGTGACGGGACTGATAGAATAGATTAATTATTAAAAAATAAGTGTCAGCGAACAATGTCCCAATAAACTTTACATTATGGATAACTTTCTTATTTATATCGTTATTACGTATATACTTTTTATTTATCTGAGAGCCATCACTATACATACATGTACAGAAAATCAAACAAGTAAATTTTAATGAAGCTTTTCTTATTTCATTAACCTCAACATTTGTAAAAACTTCTTAAACCTACCCACGCATATGGTTAACATTTCTGTTAAAATGTTATTATTTGTTATTTTCTACCCTTTCTTTGTGTGTGTTTATAACATGTACAACCACTCGAAAACAATTAGAAACTAATTGAAAAATTAATTTTTTGTTGACATTACTCGCCCTCACCGTGTACCCAGTGTGCAAACACAGTACTAACAACAACTAACACAGGGAGAAATTGTTACGAATTAAAAGTGTTTGCATGTTTAAATTTAATGGTGCATATACATATGCTTATAATCAGGTGTACTGCGTGTGTGTTTGTTTGTATCTTATAAGCTCATTAAAACATTTTACATTTAGATACTCGAACGTCATCATCATACATACATACATCTATCTATCCCTACTACAACAACAACAATAAATAAGTAATTCATGCATGATGCATTAAATCACAGTTCGTAGTTAATGTAATAGTTATGTTCAATTCTCGCTTGTAAGGTTTGTATGTGCAAGGTTGCATATGAAATGCATTTGAAATTAATAAAATGTTTTTCCATTAGATTTGTGTGTACTAGTAGAAAATTCTCATAAAATCGTTAAGTGTTCTAGAGTAAATTTGAATGTCATTAGCAAAGGGTGCAAATTTAAGTGGAAAACAACAAATAGTAATAAACGTTAATTATTAAATACCTACCTAAAGGTAAACACGTGTGTATGTGTGTAATGAACCTGTGTTTGAAATAATAAATTTTAAATCCCTGTCATGTTCAGAACATATTCAATTTGCAGCTGCTTTTCATTACCAACTACTAAACCACTAATAAACCTTTGTAAATCCAGTAGGATTAACAGTAGCAACCTTTTTTACACCTCAATCAGAGTTTTAATGATTCATCATAAACAAAAAATTTGGGGGAGATTTTCGAACAAAAAATTTCTCATTTTTTCAGCGACTTATTATGTCACATTAAAACCGCAAACACCAGCGACCTCAACCATGACAGTGGTTTTAATTTTGGTATAACCACTAATATTTTAGCAGCAGCACAAACTAAATAGAAATAAATTTAACATTATGGACCTTTGGAGGAAACTTCCATATGTCTTTAATAAGAAATGGCATCACCAAGGAAAATGAAAGAGCAGCAGCAGGAGAAGCACACAAATGTTAACAAAACACAGACTAATCTCATAAATAATATTTGTGTCTTTCTTTTTTTCACTCGTTCATTCTTCTCTTCTTTCTATCTTGTAGATCATACTCTGAAATATTTTTATTTGACAAAATAAAAGCTTCATCTTAGGAAGGGGAAATGTGTCTGGATGTGAGTGTGTGTATATGTGCTTTAATGAATTTGAATGTAACACAGGAAATATAGTTACAGAATTTGAAATGAAATCATAATAAAATAAAGGATGAAAGCTCCAGAAATGATAATCTCTTAGTACTTACAACCAACTGACAAACAAACAAACATTGTCAACAATATTACACACCCAAGCACAATAAAGTGT